CTCGTACGGGCATTCTCCTGGAACAGAACTCGACACAAACCCCCGAGCACTCCGTACGCCTCCCCGACTCTCTCGACTCCCTCCTTCTATACTCACTCCCAAGTCTTTTTTCTCCAGATCGATCCGCATCTCCTTCCTTTTTCGCCAATCGCGTTTCATGCTTCCTCACGCTCATCCCGGTCGAATGGGGTTCAAAAAATTGAACTTTTCCGGTCAAGATTCACGTATCTTTCTTCCCTCTTCTCAAAAATTTTATCTTCCCTCCTCTTTTTTCGTTGGCCAACCGTGTCTCTCAGCGGGAACCCGAAACCTGTGCTCGTTCTTGAATCCGTTCTTGTTCGATAGAGGACAAAAACGGCCCCCGTGGCCAGTTTGTCAAATTTGAAAAAGAGAATAAAAGAGGAAAAAAAAGGACACACGAGTCCGGCGATGAAAATGGCTGGATACATTCCCCTAAGTACCAGTGTGATGAGTGTTACAATCCTCTGACAAAACACATCTTGAGCAGATCACCGACGACTTGAGCAATTCACGGATTCCCCCCTGCCTCATTGGCAGGTGACTAATAAAAAACACACGAGCAAGAAAAAGAGGAAAACAGTAACATCCAGAATGTGACCGCCTTACCGGTGAGGTACATTCTGTGGAGGAAGACTCTGAGCACGGCCTTCAAGACTACCCTGCCCGACATCATTGCAGTACAAATAGTATTTTCTTTTTTTACTTTTTCTTTCACTTGCAAGCAATATAAAAATTTTGTCGACCATGTGTCCCACCCCCGATAACTTCGGGAACTAGCAAAACATCGTAATTTCCCAACACTGGCGGCGGTACTAGTGGTTTAATAGCAAAAACGTCGGATCCTGAAAAACAAGATTTGCATTTTTTCGGGTGTCTAAAAAAAATCTCAATTTTAACAAAGTTATGTTTTCTGCAATAGATGGTTAAGATATAAAAGTTTAGATTTTACACATCTGGAGGTTTGTAGAACTGTACGTGTGAGTCTCATTAGATACCCCTTACAACACATTTTCAAGGAAAGCAACATCATTTTAAAAATCTTTGAAAAATAAATAAAAGCGCCTTAAGGACTACTTGAAATTGGAGGATTCGCCACCCAAGAACTTTCGATTTGTAAGAAACCTCATATGGTTCTTTGAAATTCAAGGACCTCAATTTTTACAGTGGAGAGAGCAGCGTCGAGATTCAATACGTGGTGGCACAGGATTGGTCCAACCCCATATAACTTCTTAATTTTTATTTTTTATGGCAATATATTTGAAAGACTTCACAAGGACCCGTTACGAGTTTCAAAAATCTTTAAGGTGCGTCTAACGAGACCCTTTATGTATATTTTTAACGTTGGAAGGCATGTTAACCCCACTCATGACAACTTTTTTTTTTTTTTTTTAATACAGGTATAATATTTCGTAAGGCATTATCACCACCATAACTTTATCAGACCTTTAAAAGTATAGTCCTATTTAAGGGAACTAGTGTTCAGGCCCGCCCAATCAAGAAGGCCCAAACAGTTGGGCGAAGGTGTTTATTTCTTTGTTCAATTATTTTAATTGATTTGTATCATAAGAGGTGTTGTGTTCCCCCTTCTCATTTGCGAAAGAAAGAAGATCATTATTTGATTGATTTATCGATTCGGTGACTGATTGATTGATTGACTGGTTGGTTGGTTGGTTGGTTGGTTGGGTGATTGATTGATTGGTTGATCGATTGAAGTGTATGAGCACGACCGAGCGAGTGAGCAAGCGAGAGAGAGAGAGAGAGAGAAAGAGGGAGAAAAGGTTTGCGAGTTGAAAAACAGCCTTCATTCTAAGTGTCACTGAGAGTATCTGACCTTCTCCGACAGGCGTATACATTCAAGAACAAAAAATTTAATACATTGTGAGTAACTGAGTGTATCTGACCTTGTCCGTCAGATATATACATTTGAGTTCAAGAGTACCCTTCATCGCCAGTGAGTGTATCTGAACTTGTCCATCAAATGTGTACATTTAAGCTCAAGAGTACCTTCTCTCTCTCTCTCTCTCTCTCTCTCTCTCTCTCTCTCTCTCTCTCTCTCTCTCTCTCTCTCTCTCTCTCTTCCTCTATGTGTGTGTGTGTGTGTGTGGTGCACGTGTCGAGATTAATTATGTTCGAGGAACAAAGCAATCTCGACAGCATGTGTGTGTGTTGACAATCAAGTAGTTGTTCTTTTCAGAGGGGGAGTGTGTTACATCTTCGACTCACACGGGTCCTACCGTACCCGACTTAGGGCCGGAGGGACACACCAGGGCCTAAAGGCCCGACCTTTTGGGGTTACATGCCCTAAAGGCCTGATCTTGGACTGTCACCCATCGGGTAGGCCCAAACTACACTTCGTTTGGGCCTGGCGGAGCTCTTGAAGCTGCCGCCCGCCGATTGAGGCTAAACCGGTCTGGACTAGCCTCGCAGCGTTGAGGCCAGACCATTGCCTACCGGTATAAGTACCGGTATCCGCCTCAGTTGAGGGATCGGCCTACCGGAACTCTACCGGCACGGCATGGTCAGTACTAGTGTACTGTTTGGATGCGCTAAACTTAGCGCAGGGGCTGAAGCAGGAGCGCAGCATAGCGCAGCAGCGAGCGGAGCAGCAGCAGGGGGACTGAGCCAGCACGGCGGCCATTGCCGCCTGAGGTACTGGGAGCTTGGAGGGTCTCTCCTCCTCTCCCTCGCCAGTCCCCCCTCTCTCTCTCTCCTCTTCCTCCTTCTCCTTCTCCTCTTCTTCTTCTTCTTCTTCTTCTTCTTCTTCTTCTTCTTCAGATTGGAGACTACCCAGTTGGACAGAGATCAGAGTTGGATTTCGGTGATACGAGACTGTGGTACTTACCTGATTGGRKACTTGGAGATTGTTGAGGTTGACACTCRGCTGCATCACAGTTGGACACCGGTTACATCTGGACTCGGTTATCTCCGACATTGGTGACCTTTGGTCCTCGACATTTTGATCTTGTTATATGACATTTTGGACTACCATTTCGGAGACCTACCAGACTCTATCTTGTGACCTATCGGTGTGATCTACCTCCTACCTCCTTCGTCTCTCCTCCCACCTTTCATCTGTGTACGGGATCTGGGTATCGTCTATGAATGACCCAGACCCCACCATCTCATGATTGTATGTGTGTGGAGTGATGCCATGTAGGTCAGTCTATGTTAGTCAGTCTATGTTAGTCAGTCTATGTGAGTCAGTTCGTTATCAGACTTCCGCTGCATAAATGCTCATCCTATATTGGTTGATCTTTGGTTCTACCCATACTCATTGAAGTATGTAACAGTTATGGTATTGGAGCAGACCAAAACGGATCTGCTCACTAGTTCAGACCGCTTAGAATTAGGTTATCACGTTTGATCTTCTAAATCGGCGCTGAAGTATTATCAAGTTCAAAGTTGCAAATTTTCTTTCGGTATTCTCGCTATTTCGGCATTTCCGTTTCAATTCAGTATTCGGACTTTTATTCGGATTTCTGTTGTACACGGTATGCTGTTTAATGAGATCCGAGAGATTGATACTAATCCAACATTCTGTTTGATTCGGATTTCTGATTAAGTGTTCGTAATTAGGGTTGAATCAGTATCATGTTTGAAATTAGGGTTTTCTGATATTCATTCAGCGGTCCGTTTTTCGGCATTCTGTTGTAAATCCTATATTTCATTTTCTTTTGAGATTTCCGTTGTCTTTCAGTATGGAAATTAGGGTTATAAAAATCTTTTGGTTTTAGATCAACTTGGCGAAAAACGAACGTTTTGGGACCGTATATCCGAAAATTTCGCCGAAACGCGGAAATTAGGTTTGGGACCGAAATTTTCGCGAAATTTTTTTTTCGTTCTCCTTGTTTGAGAAATTCCGAAAAATAGGTTTAGGCTTTTAAAAATCGGATTTTGACGGTGGGAATTCCCGAAAATTCGAGCGTTTTTCTTCTGAAATTTTTTGAAAACTTTTTAGCACACTAAGCCGTATCTGACCTTAAATTGCAACTACCGGGCAGTTCACTTATTAAACGGAGAACTCCCGGTCTCATAGTGATCTCAAAGAGACCTAATCATAATACCTTTCAAATTCATATTATTAATTGGTTATCTTTATTTACAAACATTGTTTTACTGATTATCATTAATTGGTTATCTTGATTACAAACATTGTTTACTGATTATAATTCGAATTTATTTTGTTAATTATCATTAATTAATTTTATTGATTAAATCGTTATAAATTCCTTATTACGAATTTTTCGAAGGATTTACGAAAAATTTATTTTTTTCCGTTTGATTAGGTGTCTACAGTCCATCAGTGGGACAGGGGACTGTATGTATATTGCTTGATTGTTCTACCCATGTTCCCACTCTCCCTACCCCCCGTGTTCTGTGATTACCGGGACTTCTCAAGTACCGCATCGGTTCAGACTGATGTCGATGGGACAGGACACCGGGGCACTGCCACGACGCAGTGCCAAAATCGCAGTTCGTGCCCGCCCTGCAGTACCTCCAAGACCGAAGAAACTCAGCAGACGGACGACTCCGGCAGCATCAAGTACGGCATTGACGTAACAAGACGCCACCGGAGATCATCCCGCATACCCAGTCCGAGGAGCCAATGAGCCAGCGGCTGATTATCGTGGGCGGCTACTGTCATTTACGGAAGCCGTAGCTGCCGTCGAGGCCCGTAAGGAGACAGCAGAGGCAGAACGTCAGCGGCTAGCCAATGAAGCGGCAGCCGAAGCTCAGCGAACGCCTGAGACTGACGCAGCGACACGAGACAGACGGAATGCCAACAGCACGGAGTCCTTCATTGCTTGTGAGCATCAGAGGACGACGATACTCCAAGACATGATCTTTGTGCCTACAGAAGCGCAGGCAGACCCGACACCGGCGGAGGCAGAGAGAAGTARCCTGGCTAACTTGCTGCTGGGCATGATGAGAGGTATTATGTGGAATAATACACTGTTGCAGTCACATCTGCGCACGGACGCGACGCAGCGACAAACATACAAGAATGATATGACTACGTTAACAACTGCTATCCGCACAGAGGCAAATGCAGCAGCAGCAACAGCAGCAACTGTTGAATTCCACTATCACACGCGTCAACAGCATAGAGGCTAACGCCTCAGCAGCGCCAGGCTGCACGACAGACGTGACGAAGCAACTCAACGAGCGCATCGATCACGTCGTCACCATCATCGRCGACATAAGTACTTTCAACGGACCAGACTCGATCAGCAGCACGGTGGCCGCCATCAAGACGGACATCACCAAGCTACAGACGAGACCGGAAGYCGCTACAAAGACGTTCAAGATGCCGCACTTCGACATCAGCAAGTTCGACGATTACAACAAGTCGAACGCCTTGTCATGGTGGCAACGCTTCCTCACGGAAGCATCATGCTGCATGGTCCCGGCGGACGACATATTGAAGGCACTATATCTGCAGCTGATTGGAGGAGCGCAGGGATGGATGAACCATCTAGCGGCTACACACAAGTGCACTATCGCCGAACTCCACACGCACATTACGTGGAAGGAGTTCGAGCAGCTATGGTTCACCCGGTTCATGGTCCGCAACGTCGTGAAGGYGGCCATGAATGAGGTGCACACATGCTCTCAAGGGAACATGCCAACTCGAGACTGGACAACGAAGTGGCAAAAGATAGTGACCACAGCAGGTTTCGACTTGACGTTTCCAAATCAACGATCCGAGTTCTTCTCGCGATCGTGCGCGGGATTGCGGTCGGCACTCGGTAATGAGTACGACTATACCACATTCCAGGCCATTCTGGATCGAGAGAACTTGGTCATCCAGACGGACGACAAGGCCGATAACGAGAGACAATCCCAGCCGCACTATGTGGCTAAGCAGACCTATCAACGTCTGGCACATAACAATGCCGTGTTTTCTGAAAAAATCGACGACCACCACGCTGCAGCAGCATCCTCGAGTGATGGAGGAATTGTCGCAGCGCTCCCGCCAAAGCATCCGAAGAGAGTTCGCAAGAACAAGGCGACACAAGGGACAGCGGCGACGGGAGCTGGGCAGCAGCCATGGACGGCTTATAAGATCACCAAGGAGGTCTATGACCTACGTCAGAAGTACGCATACTGCCTATGGTGTAACAGTGTAGTACACACTACCGCACAATGCCCAGACAAGGGCAAGGCACGCATACCCCGTCCAGCCAACTCGGAAGACTGAGTTACGCAAGGAGAGGGGCGACGTCTCTCCTCACTCCGCCGGACCCGGTTGCTTTGCTAGCAATCGATGTCACTACCAGGGAGCATGCGTTAGTCGCTGATTCTCGTGCTACGTACGAGGATTATGCCGCCCAGCTGGTACCACCATTAGACCAGCCTAGCCACGTGCATGTAGATTGCGTATGCGCAGCCTGTACACCGTCGGCAAATGATCTGGTCAGTTCGCCACTGATTTCCGAGGACTCGACGGCGTGGTCAAGACTTGAGGAGCTTGACCCGCTCACGAGAGAGGACTTCGCCTGGATGCCTCTACCCTCGACCGGAACCTTGCCAAGGCCGCATTGCAACGCCTTGATGGTAAATCTACGCTTCTACTTGCACACTACAGTACCAGTTCCGTTGACAGACAACGGGGTAGCGGTTGCCGATCTCCGCTCTTATCTTGCGAAGATCGACCGCGAGCACGCCACCCAAAGGTACGCCGAAACCGACGCACCTTTGCTCTATATCCGCATTCAAATCGGAAAGGCAACCTGTAGTGCCTTGATTGATTGCGGAGCGTCTCGCAACTTCATGAGTCAAGCCTTTATGGCCCGCGCAGGTCTTGGCCCGCGCGTTCGAAGAGAAGACGCAACCTACGGAAGTTACACTCGCGGACGGCCGTACGCAAAAGTCAATTGACCGATGCGTTGACGGCGTTCCGGTCTACTTTGCGCCACTTGCGTGCGAGCTGGTGTCTTTTGACATCCTCGACACCAAGTTCGACATGATTCTAGGCATGTCTTGGTTGCGTAGCGCCGATCATCCGGTGAACTTCCATGACCGAACCGTTCAGACCCGTGATCAAAACGGAGTGTTAGTCCCATGTACGGTCACGACCCCTCACACTTCGATTGCTTGTCACGTGGTTTCTGTTGCGAGAATTCGCAACGCCATTGCTCGGAATGACGTCGAGGAGATGAGCTTTGTATTCTTGCATGCTCTCCCCTCGCCGGACGGACCAGACGCGTCACCGCCAGACCCACGTATTTCTCACCTCTTGGACGAGTATAGAGACGTCTTCGAGGCTCCCACCGGAACGGTTCCGGATCGGCCCATACGTCACGGGATCACTCTCGAGGCGGGCGCCGTCTCTCCGCGTGGATGTATCTACCGCATGAGCGAAGAGGAACTCGAAGTGCTTCGCGCACAACTCGATGACCTTCTCGACAAGGGCTGGATTCGCCCTAGTTGCTCGCCATACGGTGCACCTGTTCTCTTCGTCCGGAAGAAGAACAAAGATCTACGATTATGCATCGACTATCGAAAACTTAACGCACAAACTGTAAAGAACGCCGGCCCTCTAGCGGAAGGGGATCACATCGTCAATGTGGAAGACATGGTCTTTGGGGGTGGTCTATTGCCACCATGAGGTAGTCATCACGTTGGGCCACGTAAGGGGGGAGTGGCTCAATGAAGTCAACTATGTTGTACTTTTGGGCGAGCTCCTGTACAAAGGTTGCTTGAATCTCAATAGGCATATGTCTGTATTCTACCCAGTAGTATTCAGCCATCAGTTGCTCCCTCTTTTCCTCTGGTCTCTGCTGACGTTGGGGGGACCATGGGTAGATCCTCACTTCTGATCTGCTGCAGCGAAGGCTGCACCAGGTGTCCATGGTTCTCTTATCTGCA